CTCCGTGGCCTTCGCAGGCATGGAGTTCTGGCTTTGGTGGTTTTCAGTGATAAGGTGGAATGGTAGCTCCGTGGCCTTCGCAGGCATGGAGTTCTGGCTTTGGTGGTTTTCAGTGATAAGGTGGAATGGTAGCTCCGTGGCCTTCGCAGGCATGGAGTTCTGGCTTTGGTGGTTTCAGTGATAAGGTGGAATGGTAGCTCCGTGGCCTTCGCAGGCATGGAGTTCTGGCTTGGTGGTTTTCAGTGATAAGGTGGAATGGTAGCTCCGTGGCCTTCGCAGGCATGGAGTTCTGGCTTTGGTGTTTTCAGTGATAAGGTGGAATGGTAGCTCTGTGGCCTTCGCAGGCATGGAGTTCTGGCTTTGGTGGTTTTCAGTGATAAGGTGGAATGGTAGCTCCGTGGCCTTCGCAGGCATGGAGTTCTGGCTTTGGTGGTTTTCAGTGATAAGGTGGAATGGTAGCTCTGTGGCCTTCGCAGGCATGGAGTTCTGGCTTTGGTGGTTTTCAGTGATAAGGTGGAATGGTAGGTGCCTACCTTCTAGGGCTGCTGTTCAGAGCCTGTGCCTGGTGCCTTTTGTCCCCATCCCCTCAACTAGCGGTGTGCTCCTCAAGAGCTAAGCCCTTGCCTGCATTAGCTTTGGCTGCATGGTAGATCCTTGTTGGGGGTTGGGTTGTGTCCCCTAAAAGGTATGTCAAAGTCCTAATCCCCCCATACCTTTGAATGTGACTATTTGGACATAAGGTCTTTGCAAATGAAATCAAGTTAGGATGAGGTCGTTAAGGTGGGTCCTACCTCAATAACACTGGTATCTTTGAAAGAGGAGAGGAATTCAGACCTAAGCCCTCACACAGAGAATGCCTTGGTGTGGACATGAGGAGGGGACCATGTGATCACAGAGGTAGAGATTAGAGTAGTGCCTTAGTCATAAAGATGGTGCATTGCAGTGGCCAGGCAGCCAGTGTCCTTGCTTTGAGGTGTTTCTCTTAAGATCAGGGGAACTCTCCCCATCAGCCTTCTCTCCATGTCTTTTTCCCATCCCTGAACAAGCCACTGCCAAAGGGGGAGGATTTCGCATCATCTAAGCATGAAGGGATGCTGAAGAATCAGCCATAGGCCCCTCCACATGTTCGAAGTTCACGGCTTTTAACCCAGTTTTAGAAGACAGAAAACTTTACCTCAATGATGTCCATGTCTTAATCCCCAGGACTTGTGAATGTTACCTTACAAAACATACTTGCCAAATGCTCTCTGTAGATATGATTCTGTTGACGCTTTTGAGACAGGGACACTATCCTGGATGATCCCATGGGTGAGGTATAATGACAAAGCTGCTTTAGAGAGCAAAGATGTCAGAACAGAGAAGAGGTCAAAAAAGAGAGAAGCTGCCACACCTCTGGCTTGGAAGATGGAGGAAGGGTCTATGAGCCAAGGAATTCAGACAGCTTCTAGAAACTACAAAGGGTAAAGAAACAGAGGGAGGCCTAGAGCCTCCAGAAGGAACACAGCTCTGGTGATACTTTGGTTTTAGCTCAGTGAGACTCATTTTGGATTTCTGACATTCAGAACTGTAGGTTAATAAATTTGTATACTTTAAGCAGCTAAGTTGGTGAGTAATTTTTTATAGCAGCAGTAGAACTAACACACCATCATTTCTCCAGGCTGAGCTTGAATCCATATAACCTCTTCTAAGATTAAGCATCTCATTTATTCTGAACCTTTTGTAATTTGTGTATCTATAGAAGATATACAAATACTTAGGGAATAAACAAAAGACAAATCAAGTTCTGATCCAGCCTCCAGGTAGGACCAGCTTGGTGATTTGCTCTCAAAATGCTAAATGTTGGTTCCTTTGGTCAACACCAGTGCTGGGTGCCAGGAATGTAGAAATCAGTCAGATCTTGTCCTCCCTCACAAGTGGCCAAGTGCCCAACCAGCCATTTATTCCATAAATACTCTTCTGTCAAGCTGAATCTCTTCCAGATGTCTTCTCTGTCTTTGTAGTGCTAGCCAGTTTCCTCCCATTCAAACCTGCTGATTTTTTTTTTAAGTCCTACCAAAGGTCAAGAGAGCACACAATGATAAGCACTTACACAGACAAACCTATTTTTAGGGTGCCCCATGATGCCAAGATCAGCAGATTCCAACTTTGAGTCCTGGGGTCCACAGAGGATGTCATCTGCCTCCTGTTCTCATGCCAGTTGGATAGAGATGCTGCTGTTTGGAAGTTTTCTTTGCTGTTCTTTATTTCCTCTGCTCTATTGTGCTTCCTGTTCTTCTGTGGCACGATAGCGGGGCATGTGTGTTATGTTCGGAAATGGCTTACTATCTATCGTTCCACAGTTCAGCTGTTTCTGGGAAGCCCCAGGCTTTCCTCTGGGTAAAATAAATCTATGGAAAGAATCTAGGAAGGTAACTGAAATAATAGGGCAGAGAAATGGTGAGGGGAGACTGGCCTTTGCTATGACCTTCCCAACCTCCCATCTCTGTCTCAAGGAAATAGAGACACAGGTTATCTGCACACTAGCTCCTTTCCCTGAGCTCTCTGTGGTACCTTAGCCTGAATGGAGCTCGGTCTCTGCGGTACCACTTACATGGTTCTAGGCGCAAGAACCAAATTATGAAAGTTGGCTGCAAAGAAGCCCTGATGCTCAGACTGGTGTGGAGATGGGTAAGTTTGGCAGGTGTGTCTTCTCGGCCCTGTTTCTTTCCATCTCTTTTGTCTGCGTGAAGCACGGTGTAGCTGAAAGGTTAAATGCAGAACTCTGAAGATTCAGCCTGGTGGATTTCACTTACTTGCCATGTAACCTTGGACGTGTTACTTGAAGCACTTTTTCTGTCTCTAAAATGGGTGTGGTAACGGTACCAGTGCAACTGGGAATGTTGTGAGGATTAAATGAGTGAATATGTGCAAGTACTTAGATCAGCACCCAGACATCCTGAGCACCACACAGTGGCACATCCTTCCCCGACTCTGAACACGGTTCAGTTCCCCAGCATTTTAAGTGGCTGCATTGCTACTCTTTTATGTGGCTGTGGGCCCGATTCCTGTAATGGGATTTTGTTTCTAGGTTTTTGATGTTGTAAATAGCATTTCGATGGCTACCCTCAGAGGGAGGGATTTGCTCTCATCCTTGACTATTACCTCAGGTTAAATTTCTAAGATTAGAATTGCTGGATCAAGTGGGGCGAGCATGTGTGAGGCATTTCTTGATAGATGCTACTGAATTTCCCTCCAGGAAAGTCTTAGTCTTCAGTCCTACCAGCAATGAATGAGTGTGCCAATTTCCTTGTGTAGCCAGGTTATTAACTTTTAATCAAATGAAGGCCCAGGAAGAAGAAGAGATATTTCCCTGGGGATAAAGTGCTCCTCATCCTTGCTTACAAGCAGTAAATGCTCCAAGAACCCAGAGAGGGCCCCAAGGCACGTACAACACGTGGTCATCGCGCCCTCTACTGGCTGTCCCTGGTGAAGCGGCATGAACCACAGTAGGTGGCCTGCTGACAAGGCTGCAGTAACCCTTGCCCTTGGGTGCAGCATTTTAAAAAGATTTCCAGCTGCTTAAAATGTCAGCCTTGGGTGACATTTACTTCTTGCGCAGGTTCCTTTATAGCTGTGATTCTCAGCAGAGGGTAATTTTTGCCCCCAGGGAATACCCGGTACCATCTGGGGACATTTTTATACGTCACACAAATCTGAGGGATCCCGCGGGGTGAGCCTGCTGTGGACTTCTAGTGGTCAAGGCCAAGAATGCTACTATACATCTAAGAAGTCTCAGGACAGCCCACAACCAATGTCGGTAGTGTTAAGGTTGAAACCCTGATTTAGAGAAACGGAAGAATTGTCCCGAGAAAACTGCTCTTTTCAGACTGAAGTAAAATATAGAAATAGGGATACTGAATGTGTTACTGTTATTATTTGGTTGCATCAGTTTTTTTGGTTGGTACTGGGGTTTGAACTCAGAGCCTCATGCTTACCAGGCAGGCACTGTACCACTGGAACCACTCACCAACCCAGTTATGGTGGTAGAAACCTGTTAGTTTTACAGAATAAAATAGACAGCAGATGGAACTGAAACAGCAAGTTGGCATTTCTAGAAGAAAGGACAGAGCAAAATGCAACTCACAAAAATGTCATGTGTGTTAATAGGGAATTTTTTTCCTTCTTGACTTGACTCGGCTTCCTCTTGAAGGCCTTCCCGTTAGAAATTCTGCTTTACTTGACATTTGCCCCAGTTTCACAAGTGCCAGTGTTGTCCTGATATTTCTAGTTGTGCCTTCCAGTTACCATCTGAGGTTACAATCTGCAGCTTCCACACCCCAGTAAATACTGACTCAAGCATTGTTTCTAGGGGGGTGATGTGTGACTAGAAGACCTTCAGGGTGCCCCTGAAGGGAAAGTATGCTAAGAATTTCAGGAAAATCAAACTGCAGCAACTTCCTTTCACAATTGCTGGACTTGACCTCTGTCACTGGTGTCATCAAAACCGATTTAAAAATGCTCTGTTCTTTCAGTTTGCTTTAGCCTTGCAACTCTCTGAGTCATTTGCATTTTAGAATACGTATCTTGAAATAATGGACTGGAGTGGCCCCTTAGTTCTGTGCCAAATAATACTGGGATTACTTGGCCAGAAATAGGGGAGGGATTTTCCTAACACAGATACTGTTTTGATCATCTTTCATGAAAACTATTTTTTCAGACCCCAGGTCCCATTAATGTATGATAAGATTGATTTCTGACTCAATCAGTATTATAAAAAACATCAGATGGATTAGAAAATATCAGAGAGTATCATATGCAGGAAGAGAAACCTTAGTTTGGGGGACGCTAACATATACGCACAGGTCTCCACAGGCATGTTCATGTGTGTACACACAGCATGATAAGTGTGGGAGATTGCGGCTTAGGGTTTATGACATGGTGAGATCTGGCTTGTGTGTGAAATCGTCCAAAGACATCAGTAGGTTCCCTGTCCCTCAACTGCACCTTTGTTTCTCTTCCAGGTGGCACCAGGGAGATTGGCTCGGCTCTTACCAGGATGTGTATGAGGCACCGAAGCATAGAAGCCAAACTGAGGCAGTTTTCAAGGTGAGGAGCAGGTTTACCCCTGATCCCAAATGCCCCTGCCGGTTTCAGGGTAAGGAGGCTGTGGTGTGTGTGCTCCTTGCCTTAAGTAGCACAAGTCCCCCTTGGCATTGAATCCCCACAGTGTCCTTTCCCTGACTCTGCTCATAGGAAGAGCATTTATTGGCACCTGCCACATGCCAGGCACTGGTGTAGCTGGGCCTGTGGCCTTGGGAACCTGCTCTTCCTGTCCAATCATCTCTGCTCCGGCATGGGTCTCCACTTGCCTCTAACCAACTGAGGAGCCAGGATATTCTGCAGAGGCCCACTGGACCCCACTGCTTCCTGGGAACCTCTTAGAAGGAGGGGCTGTGGTGTGTGAGAGGGAGATGCATCACGCTGCTCTGTCCCCCACGCCTGTGTGCCGGGTCCCCCGAGAGAGGGTGGTAGCTCCTAGAAGCCTCTACACTGCTGGCTTCCCATTGCTGGAGCTGGGGTTTGGGAGGGGGTCACCAATGTTAAAATGAAAATTAGATCAGTGTAAGGGGGTACACCTGGAGACACCCACACTCCTCCATGATCTGGGATCTGGAGATGCAGCTCAAGACTTTCCTGGCTCTCTTTGCCCTTTCCTCCCTCCAGGCTGTGCACAATTCATGACGTATAGGCCTGAATGCACAGCAGAACCAGTGGGTCTTTTAAAAAATAGGATTGCTGGGCCCCATCCTCAAAGGGACAGTGTATAGCCTAGGTGTCTTTGCTTCTTTGTGGCTCCTGCTGTGAGACTGAGGGGCTGGCCCATGAGGAGAGGGCTGTTTCCAACCAGGCATGTGTATAGTGTCTTAATAGTCATGGAAAAACATCCTGATAGCAGCACTGTCCCAAGTTGGGCTTCAGTGGGAACATTGGCTTATTGTACTGCAGTTGCCTGCTTCAGGGAATTGTCATGGAGGTGTGTTTTGACTACCAAATGTAAATCTTGACAACAGAATGTATCTGCTTAATTTTTCCTTTTCTTTCTTTTTGGCAAAAGTGCTTTAATTGACTGTCTGATAAACCCTCTTCAAGAGCAGATGGAAGAATGGAAGAAGGTGGCCAACCAGTTGGATAAGGACCATGCAAAAGGTATGGGCAAGAGGTCTGGCACCTCATGGCACTCAGAAGAGCTGGGGATGTCGCCTGTCCCTGCTTTTCCTGTAGGCATTTCACTGTCAGGGAATCAGGAGTCCAAAGTCATCCCATTGTAAGACTTAGTGTTGGGTTTTTTTTCTGGCATGAAACATCACTTATGGCTGATTGCTGAGTGACTTTGCAATTACCTGAATTAAGCGTGAGTTGTATTGGCAGGCTTCAGTGAGTGCCACACATTCAACCTTCAGGCATTTCAGAACACTGTGAAAGCCAGGATTCTAATACTGTAAGCTTACCTTGGGTCACCTGCTCTGGGTTCTGGCTGTTCTCTTTGTGTACTGTCTCGGGTAGGACAAGTCTTTGTGAACTGGTTTCGTTGGTTTTAGAGACTTTGACAGTACAGGAAGGAAGTGGTGTCATCTGCAGGGAAAATAGCACTGATACTCTTGCAAGGGCCAGGATTTGGTGTTCCCTCCCCTCAGGCCAACAAGACTGTTTCATTGTAGGTCTAGTCCCTTTCTTAGGTCATTCTGAGTTTTAAAAAATTTTTTTGAGATGAGGTCTCAAAAAAAGTTGCTTGGGTTGGTCCTGAACTGAACTCAAATGATCCACCTGCCCCAGCCTTCTGAGTGCTGGGATTACAGGCATATCCACTGTGCCCAGCTAATTCTGCCATTCTCTACATGCTGAGTATTGTGAGCTCTACAGAAGGATGAGTAATAGAGGAGCAAATGAACCCCACGATGAGGCCAAGTACAGTAACGGCTATGTGAAGACCCACCACTGCTCTGGTTTTGTGGCTGGGTCACTTTCAGTGGCTGAACTAGGTCACTTTATAGCCATGCAAATGGTCCATTTTGTGTGCTTTAGGTTGTGTAATGAAAGTTATGCTCCTGGGAACAGAGCTGTCAGCACCTGCTCAGACCCTTCATCCTTTCCTTCCTTCATGCACACCTCTTTGGACATACTGAGTTTAGCCATGTTCCATGTTGGTGCACTCACAGGGGCCATAGACATAAAAAAATTAATCCTGATTTCTGGTGTGCATCCTTGTAGAATTTGTTAATCACGGATTAACAGAATCACAAGCTCCTGTGGTCATGTCTTCCTTGAAATTGGAAGAATTTCAGTGAACTATTTTAATACAGAATAGTGATGGGTTGTGCGTGTTGAGATTTCAGAAGTAGGGGTACAATAGCCAAATATTTAGCCATTCTATTGAAAAGGTTAAATAAGATCTCTCATTCTACCTAAAACCAATTTTTAAAAAAGTTATGATACGTCTGTTTTCTTCATTTTAAAAGGCCCAAAACTTTAGGGCCATACAAGATGCTTGGAAACATAAACAAAATACAAAACAAAACAATCCAGGTCTTCCATAGCATCTGGATTCTTGTGTTTCTTTTAAAAGTTATTTTAAAAAGAATTTTTTGCTGGGCACTGGTGGTTCATGCCTGTAATCTTAGCTACTTGGGAGACTGAAATCAGTAGGTTCGCGGTTCAAAGCCAGCCTGGGAAAATAGTTCGTGAGACCTCATTTCAAAAATAACCAGAGCAGAATGAACTGGAGGCATAGCTTAAACAGTAGCGTACCTTTTTTGCAAGTGCAAAGTCTTGAGTTCAAAACCTAGTACAGCAAAACAACAAATGAAAGAAAGAAAAAGAATTTCCTTCTTTAAGATACCCCTGGAGCTGAGCACAGTGGTTTATACCTATAAACCCAGCTACTTAGGAGGCAGAGATAGGGAGGACTATGGTTTAAGGCCAGCCTGGGCAAAATGTTAGCAAGACCTCATCTCAATGAAAAGAAAACCAGGCATGGCGATTCACTCCTGTCATCCAGCTATGCAGGAAGTATAGGACTGTAGTCTGAGGCCAGGCTAAGCAAAACCAAAACACTCTATCTGAAAAATAACCTAAAGCAAAAAGGACTGGGGGCATCTCAAATGATAGAGTACTTCCCAAACAAGAATTAGGCCCTGAGTTCAAACCCCAATACCACCAAAAGAAAGGAAGGAAGGAGAGAGGGAGGCAGGGAAGGAGGGAGAGAGAGAGAGAGAGATAAGGGGGAGAGAGAGAGATAAGGGGGGGAGAGAGAGAAGGGAGGGAAGGAAGAAGGAAGGAAAGAAATACATTATCCCTGGTGGCATTTCCCTTCTGAGATATAGCTTCTGTGTCTGATACAACATCTTTCTCTTTTTTCTTGAAGTTGGGAACACAAGACTTTTCCCCTGTGTGCTGATCAGGTTAGGTTGTCTTGTCTTAGGTTCATCAGACGTGTGCACCTGTACTTCATCAGGTAAAAGAAAAGAGAAATGTGAGCATCCTTTCGGATTGGGGAAGAGTTGAGAATTCACATTTGGCCCACCTTTGTGCTTGTTACGTCTTTATTAAATGTACCCATTTGATCATACGGAAAAGCTAATTTTATTGCCAAGACTTCAACATTGGATGTGTAAAGCCTTTCTAAGCAACCTTGCAGGAGGTTGCTTCTCCTGATGGGGAGAAGGCAGCAGGCCTGGCAAAGAACTCTGCTTGGTCTCTGCTCCTCCCTGTCCCACCGTGAGTGCACACAGAGACACACTTTTCAGTTCTGCCCTCGGGTACACATCCAGAGACAGCCCTGAATGTGAATGTATGTCCACTTGCTGGAAGTGGCCTCTGTCTAGACAGAGGAGGCCTGGGGTCCTAGACCCTAGGCTGTGTGAGAAGGCACTGTTCATCTTTTCAGTTTAGCCTTATCTTGGGGAGCAGCACCGATCTGCAGCCATATATGTGTGCTGTGTCTGCCCATACCTCACTGTGCATGGAGGGGACCCAGATGCTGCTGGTTCCCTTGGGAAGGTGGAGAGAGCTTTAGGGCAGGACACAGGAGACAGTGCCATGGAAGCTAGCTGAGCACAACTTGGCTGAGGAACTGGATGGGTGGACATGGTTTCTTCACACTGAATTTGGGGCAGTGGAGAGGTGAGCCAGCCAGAGAGAAAGCCAAGCAGGGAGGCAGGGGAGATGGAGGGACCTTGCAGAAAGATGCCAGTACTAGAACTCTGGCCACCCTGCACAGCCTTCCCATACCCCCGCCAATGAGTCAGCAGGTGTTTCTGAACTTGGAAGTGACATAAACAGAGCTGGGCTTTAGGAAAACCATTTCTGGCTGTGGTTTGTTTGTGCCTCCTACAAATGGGGCTCAGTACCCAGCATGCCTTGGGAAAGTAGATAATATCAAAGATCTCCCCTGATGCTGTAGTTGAAAAATTGTGATTTTGTTTTGTTTTGTTTTCATTGCAGTATTCCCAAACGACATCTTTCCCCAAAGCTGCATGATAGGTAGAGATGTGAGATTTTTATGCTAATGTATTTGGGTGTAGCTATGTACTGTATGTCTGAGTTTATGCTTTCTGGGATGAAGATGATGACTACTCCTACAAAAGCAAAGTGGTAAAATTATTCAATGTTCTGCTTTCTCTTAGAATATAAGAAAGCTCGCCAAGAGATAAAAAAGAAGTCCTCAGATACATTGAAACTGCAGAAGAAAGCAAAAAAAGGTAACTTCAGAAATCCTACCAGTGGCAGAATGACTCTAAGAGAAAGTAAACATGTGCTGGGTGTATCTGTAAAGCAGAAGGTGTTCACTTCCCAGACTTCCTCACATAGGACAGCCCTGGGGAACGGACAGCCCAGTAGACTCTACCTAAATTAAAGCTCTTGCAGTGCAGGCGAGTTAATTCGAATTCCTTGCCAAGTAACACTTGACTGTTCTTTCCCACCTTTGTCTTCACAATCTGCCACTTTCTATGCTGACTGTGCTTTGTAATGTAGCCTATGCATTTCTTGGAAGCTGTGGGATAATGCAAAGAAGCCTTTATGCAAATGTTCTATCGTAATTATCACAGAAATTATGTCATTTTCCCCTCCATCTTTCACAGCCTATAATCTCCGAAACCCTCTATTAAGTCTTGGGAGAGTGTTAGACGTGGCTGCAGGGGGAGCCAGGATCTTTGCTGTCTGGGGGGGATAGGGTGGGGGTTCATGTGTTCATTAGGGCAGAATTCCTAACTCACTGCTAAGGGAAACCAGGCTGGTGCAAGATGCCCCTCCTCCTGTCCCTCCGCTTTTCATTACCAACCAGTGAATTGTCTTGTCTGTAACACATCCTGGCTCCTCCAAAATGGATGGGCGTTTAAAGAGGAAAACCTGGCTACATCCATGTAGCAAGCATTCATAGCATTTCACCAAGACCTAAAGTGTAGGAGCTTGCTTGTGAGCTGGAGGAGCGAACATTCCTTCCAGACTCTTTTTGATACCAAGTTTTTTGAATTGCTGCATCCTTACTGATCAAATAGAGTTCTTCTGTCAGGCCCTGGAGTGACGTTTAGCATTAATTTGGGACAGCAATCTTTTTAGGGAGAGAGCCTCCTCCCCTCTCCACTCCCAAACCCTAGTTTCCTCTTTCTTTTACAAGCATTTCTCATTTGGGATGAAAAGAAAATACACCTGGAGAGTTGGGATGGTAGCGAGCATTGAACAGTGATGACACGACAAAGTTTGTAAGCGTTGACATTAAAAACAGTGCCCTTCCCCTCTATGCTCACAAGTGCCATCAGTCCATGTCAAGATAAAGGCAGCAGGATATTTTCTGTCCCCTTAGCTCTAGCAGTTTCTTTGGGGTGTGTTTTTCTGGTCTGGTGCATCTCAGATTTGCCTTCTACTATCTAACCTGGGAGCTGGAATCTGAACAGTGAGAGGGTTTTTGGCCAGTAATATATGAGTGAGTCTAACAATAAATGTTTGCAAATGAAATTGCTACCGTAGCCGATCAAATCTGGCTGGGCCACATGGCTGATGGCTTGGCAGTGTTAAGTCAGGAGGGATTAATGGGCGTGGAGAGATGGCTCAGGGAGGATTCTTAGGATTAGGAAAGGGTCTGGATTTTGATGAAAAAGATGAGGTTAAAAAACAAACAAACTATTTTTTAGCTCATCCAGACTTCCTTTTTTTAGAGGCCTTAAGTTCTTGGCTGCAGAGAAAATCCTTTTATCTGAGTTTTACATGGAGGCTGAAAGGGTCCCCACCTGCTAGTCAAAGTCACTGACATTGTCCACTTAGCAAAATGTGGACCTCTGGGTGAAGCCTGATAGGTTGATTGCAGTGTAACGTGAAAGGAAATTTCTACCAATTGTGCCTGCCCAGCACCGGCTCAGGCTACCTGGATGATAACCAACCGCCCATGGAACCTGGACGGGAAGATTCAAGACTCGGGATGCTTCTGAGCACATGAAGCGCATCCAGCTCTGGGGCTTGGTAATAATTGGCCTGAGTCGTGAGGCTGTGATAGGGGTTTCTGAAGAAACTGTCCTTTCAGCCCTGCCAGTCTCAGGCACCAGGATCACCAGAGCATAGCTTGCGACATTTTGGGTAGTTTTCTAGCTACTTCAAGGACAACCTGAAAACATTTTGTTTATTTTTTTTCCTAAAATACATAAGTGCATTTTTTTTGGCCAGGTGCTCATATTTGTATGTTTTAGGGTGAATGTAGCCCTTCAGAAGGTTCTGGAGTCATTATTCTGACCAGAATCTTGTAGGGTGCTCTACTAACAGACATATGACTGAGAATAGGATGAAAATGCCATCATTTAAGGCTGGCAAAAAATCTGAAAGCTTTTTGAAATCTGAAGGGTTGTTGGAGGCTCTGGTTGAGCTGAAGTTTCCTTCCTGCCAGCACACCTCTTGAGGTATTTGTTCAAGCACCTTCAAGTAGCAGCTTCCTGGACTCTTGGCTTATAAAATGTTAGTGTGTTAGCTTGAACAAAGGCTTTGGAAGCAGTATATGTCCTCACAGAGCTGAATCTGATCTACACAGCAAAACAATCACACTCTCAAGCAGTTTTCTGCCATACCTTTTCAAAAACTGTGATCTTTGATTTAGAAATTTTTCTGATGCCCCTTTTGAAAAAATTGTGAATGCCATTGTGCACACAAGTAGGGCTTAGCCTTGTCCTTCATGTAGGCAGATGTCTCATATGGAATGTGTCTTGTGAGCACTCAGTTACCCTGCTTTCCTACTCTGCAAACCTCACCTTTCATCACATTCTTTGGTTGACTCTCTCTACTTTAGAGAGTGATAATTTATAATCTAAAGCTGTCAAAAACACTTTAAGTGGTTTGTGTTTTGTTAGGTTCTCCCCCCAAAATTGTTTTTTTTTTCACATAAATAAGTCTATTGAAAAAATACATAATTCCTTATAAATATAATAATCCTCTCTAGACTGCTATCATGAGGATAAATAATACCAAAATTTCTCTACCCACGTAATAAATAAGCAACCTTATCACAGATCAACATCATAAGTCAGTCAGTACTGGTAATTTTCAACATGCAAGTCTTTTAGAATTAATGGACTGATTAACTTGTTTCTTAGCTGTCTGGGCTAATAGATGCATCTTGTCATTGCTGAACCTTGGAGATCTGGGTGTCATCCTAAAGCTGTTGGCTTTAGGGGCTCAGGATTGCTGCTCCATGGGCAAAGACCCGGGCAGCTACAGCTACAAAGGACTGGAGGCTGCGAAGGATCTTGAAGTAGAGGAGGAGGCGCTGCCATGGCTGGCTTGGAGTAGGGCTGGGAGTCTCTTGAGTCTCCCAGGACTGACCCTCAGGCTGCAGGAGTTGGCTGAGGCCCACTGGGGGGGCATGAAGCTGGCCCACGGGCCATCAGGGAGTAGAGGAGGTTCTCCTATGAAAACGTCTGAGCCCAGCAGCTTCTCATAGAAAATCAGACCCTGGTGGATCCTTTGCAAGCAGAACTGACTGTTGTCCCTGAGTCCTTGGGGATCACAGCCGTCCTCACACTGGATATGGGGAACATCATTTGTAGTTTCCTCATCTCCCTCTTCTCTTAGTAGATCCATATGTGCCACTGGTGGATGTGCATTCCGGCCAGCAAGCAGAGCTTCTATGAAAGCTGCTTGCACTGATCCCAGGCAGGGTTGCTGCTTCCAGGCACAGCCCAGCCTTGAGCAGTCCAGGGAAGCAGCAATAGCAGCACCACAGCTCTGCTCCCCAGCGTTTTGTTGTCTGCTTCTCAAATCTGGCTGCTTCTGCGACCTGCACCAGTTCTTGTGGCATCTCTGCCCACTTCCCTTTGCTCTAAGCCTGATTCTCTATGGTTGTCTCTGGTTCTCGTTCTCTCTGTTGTTCGCTGAGTGTCTGTACTGCTTCTTGTTTCTTTCCCCAGTTGTTTTAAAGCAACTTGGGGTATGCTCCAGCCTGGTGGGTGTCCGTGCTGGTCTTTCTTAAGGTAGACTTGTTGACTGCCAACTAGGGGTATACACCAGGAAAGAGAGAGACTTCCCCTATTCTCAGGGAAGTTCTCCTCAAGGGCAAAGGGTCAAGGACACAGGGTGGAGCCAGCTTTGTCCATTGAAGCTGTGGAAATGGCCCCAGCTTTGAGTGGTGTCACCTGAACACTCTTCTTGCTGCATGATGTCAGCTCTCTGCCTTTGGGGTCCTGGGTTCTCCCAAGTAAGAGAGGATCAGAAATAAGAGATGTTTTAGGTTGCCACCTTTGCCCCTTACTATATGAGACGTGTGTCCTTCCTTTTAATTTAACTCCATATTGTAACTATCATTGGTTATTTATCTTATTTTGTGTTGCTGGGGATCAAACCCAGGGACTCATGCATGTTAGCCAAGTGCTCCAGCACCAACCCAAACCCCATATTATTAACTTAAATTTAAAAATTGGTTTTGGGATGAAACTCAGTAGATCAGTTGCCTAGTATATGTAAGGCCCCATGTCTGATCCCTAGCACCACAAAATAATAAAAATTAAAACTAAAAAATGAGGACCAGGAGTGGTGACTCACACCTGTAATCTAGCTACTTGAAAGGCAGAGATCTGGAGGATCATAGTTCAAGGTCATCCCAGTCATAAATGTGTGACCTTATTCGAAAAATACCTAAAGCAAAAAGGACTGGGGCATAGCCCAAGTGTTAGAGTGCCTGCCTAGCAAACTCAAGGCCATGAGTTCAAGTCCTAGTACCACCAAAAAATTAATTATGGTAAAACCTTCTATTTCAGTCCATAACCATTAAAAGTTTATCAAGGACTTGCTTTGAGAAGGACAGCTGGAATAATTATATGTTAGCCCTTTAAATAGTTGAATCTACCATTTTCACTAGGGTCTGCAAAGCCAAGGTTATAAATGTCATAAATATACTCACAGAGTTCCAAAACAGCATAGCATTTGCCATTGTATTAAAATTTTAGGTTCTTAATATTTTTCCCATTTTTTTTAATCCCACCTTGAACTTTGTTTCCAAGTTCTAAATCACACTTGAAAGTTTTCTTGCTGAGGCATCTGAATTGACCTCTTCTGGGTATGTGTTCTTCATCACTGTTATCTAAGTGCTCACCCGCTAGGGGTGATTATTTCAGCTAGGACGATTTCTGCTCAGGTGAGAAGGGAATACCAGCCAGGCAGGAAGGGAGAACTTGGCTGTCCTCTCTTGCTGAATGTGGGTTGGATTGCCTGACCATACTGTGTGGCAGCAAGTCGTGGGCTGTCCAGCTCATGAGCAAAAGGTAAGGCAGTGCTGCTGGAATACTAGTTTGACTTTATTGTTTTCCTTTTTGTGTCAATTGTGTATCCTGCACTTGCTCACCGTGCGCCCCCTGCCTGCCAGTGGACGCTCTGGGTAAGTCTACACCCTGAAACTCTGGTGGCTGGTCACGGTGTGGTCCTCGCTGTGGGCTTTCCATGGTTGTTCAGGCCTACGCTAGTTGCCCAAGTTTTCTTGCCAGCTCAGAACAATCAATTGTGCCTAATTAATTTCCCATAATGTTAAGAAAATTGTGTGTGTGTGTGTGTGTGTGTGTGTGTGTTTTAATCATTTTCTTTCTTGTATGTTTGGTCATTGAGAGTGTTAGCGGCACATTCTGTGAGCCGTCACATCTTCATAATTCAGTATTAGACTCATGGAAAAAAGAAATACCAAGTGATTTATCCGTTCTAGAATAAATCAATGTATTTATACATACATACATACATACTCACATAGATATGAATGTATGTATCTTTTCCACAAACAAAACATAAAGAACTACACTAAATAACTCCTCAAACTAATTTCTAAGTCAAATTTGGCTATATTAAGCTTGCAAAATAGCTACCTTTGTCCATCTAGGACCAGTTAGTTCTTTCCCAACCAACCAATCATTCATTTAGAAAAAAAAAGTATTTCTTATTTCAGCAGAGTCTGTGAAATGTTTCATTTCAAAAGTCTCAGATCTTCAAGTTCAGAATGGTTCTCCTGGCTGACTGTGAGCCTCACTGTGGGTGATCACGCTACTAAATCGCAAGTGGCTTTGGCATCTTGTGCTGTCCCTCTGTCTTGGGAAAGGCCTGTCTGTGAGGTGTCCACGTGACTCTTGCCTGAGTGTACCCAACTGTTCTGAGCCTTGCACTGACAGCTTCCAAGAGGTATTCGAATTGGATTCTATCACCCACGATCCAATCCACAGGAGTCTCCTTTGAAAAGTGGGACCACGATGGCCTGCTGTCACCAGGGGCACAGTTCTGCTTCTGTGTCCCCACGTGGTGATGTTGGGCTAGTCATTCCCCACCTTTTAAAAGGACAATTCCTTCTATTGTCAATACTGTGATTATAAAGCCACCTGAACAGTTTTCAGTAAGCCTTTGGAAGGAAGGTAAGACATGGCCCATTTTTGCCACATTCACATTACATAAAATTTATCATTTTAACCATTTGAAATTATATGTTTTGGTGGATTTTATACATTCACAATGTTATGCAACCATTACCACTATCTAATTTTAATTGCCCCCAAGAGATAACACATGCCTATATTCAGTTGTCACTCCCTGTTCCCTCCCTCCAGCCCCCCAGCCCTGGCAGCTCCTCACCTGCTTTTTGTCTTGGGTTCGCCCTTCTGGATGTTTCATATGAATGGAATCAGACAGTCTGGGGCCTTTTGAGGATAGTCTCTTGACTCTCAAGTATTATGAGACCCTTTACTGAGAGCCCGACATGAGCCAGTCCTTGGGGTAAATAGCATTTTGTTTGTTTGAATTGATGGGAGGTAGTTTTGGAAAGGATGAAGAAGCCATACAGCCTTTTGGCTTTGTAACTTCTGAAGAGTGTCCGCTCATCATAGTCAAAGATACATCTCTGCAGTCCGTCTTAGTTCTCGGTCTGGCTGGGGCAGGTTTATAGGGCAGAGTTTCAGTATTACACGTGTCAGTAGCTGAGACTGAGGACGGAAAGCTAGAAGAGCTGACATCCTTAAAGAGCTCATAAGTTTTAAACCATTTTTGAGCATAGAAATTTTTATTTTAATAAAGTTTCATGATAGTCACAGTGTTCTTGGGGCTGGGGTGTAGCTCAGTGGTAGTGCACTTGCCTGGCCCTTGGTTCAATCCCCAGCACCACCAAAAAGAAAAAAGTCTGGTTTAGAAAGTGAAAATGAATATGTATGTATACATATACACATATATGCATTTATATACACGTGTATGTGTATAATGGATGGCTGGGTGGAACAGTCCTTTGGCTAGTTAGAATTATTAACTTTAAACTCCAGCTCCCTGGGTAAGCAATGCTAGGAATTTATAAATATTAAACACACGTTTGGCCTGGGAGGAGATAACTGTTCCTCTAGGGACTTGGGATGCCTCAAACCCAGGTAGTTTAATCTGGAGTGCTCAGTGCTGTGATGAATATAAGCAAAAGATATGGCACAGGGCTCAGAGGAGGGAACACAGGAGAGAGGTGTTCAAGGCAGAGGGGACGGGATGAAAGAAATGACTGTCACATGTAGTCAGGAGAACAGAAATGGTGAAGGGTAAACGTGTTGCAGAGAGGTTTCTTAGGCACAGTGTGTGTAATACCTAGGGATAGCCTTGAGGCAGGTCATGGCCCCACCCAGGGTACATTGCCCTCATAGAAAAACCACAGTGACCCTCAAGCCACCCAGCCACTGGCTTCCTGGGTTGTGCCTTCCAATCTGCCTCCAGGATGGTTCAGTTCCATCACTGGGCCTCATTTGTAATCAGATTGCAAACTGTACCACATGACTCATCCCATTATCCTTGCTACCCTGAAGAAAGCCCATGCTGAGTTGACATCTGTCCTGCCAGTGGTGGTTTATATACCTCACCATGTCCAGCACACACACACATTGCCACGCCTTTGTCCTGTGCTACACAGCCTGCAGATGCCTCTCTGAATGACCCTGAAGCCTGCAATCACTCACTGTCTGCCTTGCCTTGGGGTAATAATTGAATGGGTCCCCTCTAGACACTCCTCCAGTGCTTGGAGGCCCCTTCCCCAGATAGAGGTCAGTGAGGTGAGGAAGATGGCGACTAGTGGTTCCAGCTGTTCCTTTGGGGCCATGCCCAGTGTCAGAAGGCAGATGGGGAAATGGCAAGGGTAGGTGCAGCCAGGCTCCCCACCCTGGTGTGGAAACTGACTGGGGGATTTTCCCTTCCAGATCTAGCGTCCAGATCAGGACCTCCAACAGTTCTCAGTGGAGACGTTTGAGTTTAACCCAGCAAGCTTTTGCACAGGCTGTAGCATTTCGGATGAAAGCACATAGTCTTCAGAGGCCAGGTAGCTCCTTAGAGGGACTTCTCAGCAGATGGTTTTGGTGTAAACAGGCCATGCAGACCCCATGTAAGCCTAGAGCTGCCAAGTCTCTTTTTTGCACAACTGGAAGAACCTGGTGAAGCCTCATGCTGACCTGGTCCTTGGGGGCCTCATGTGTGACTCTGGGACTGGAATGTCCCTGTGCACCTTGAGACTGTTGTCAAGGTACCTTGCACCTAGCTTTCACAAAGCTGCCTACAGAGTCCAGGGGAAAGAATTTACAGTGTGAAATCAAGACAGGAGCTGAGCACTTTTCTTAGCATTGATTTTGACCAAATACAAAATAGGAGAGAGTTATAAGGACAACTTGCTTGAAAGTATGGGTTTTACCCCCAAGGAGAACACTATACAGGATGTTACAGAGCAGGACTAGAGTTGCATATCACAAGCCATTCAGTGTTCCCAGGGCTAATTGATTCCCCTCTGATGCCTTTCTTTCATTCATGAACATCCTCCTTAACTACTTCTATTGAGTCTTGTGAAGCAAATCCTCCTTCCCTTCCTCCCTCCGTCCTTTCCTTCTTCCTCCGTCCTGTCCTTCCTTCTTTCCTTTCCTTTCCCTCCTGAAAATAGGTATGAGGGCATAATAGGTGTGTTGGATCTATTAGCTGCTTCAGAGGCACTCGTAGTCTCTGCCCACATATTGTCCCCAGGATGATGAAGGCATTTATGTTCTTTCTTAAATGTCAGTTTCCATGGTAACATCAAGTCTCTCTAGCACCCGCTGAGTGTGTACAATTCAATTAATTTCTGATACCAACTGTGCAGGTTAGCCCAGATGCCACAAGGTAAGGCTCAGTTCCACAAGACCTACCCTAATTTTAGTCAACAGCCTCTCCCCACACTTCTGCTTAGCCAGGCACAAATTCAAACCTTCCTATAGCCCAGTTTGGTAGTTCCCTAGACTCATAGATCATAGGAAAATACTATACGTTAAAACAATCAATTTTTACGAAGAGAAAAAAAATGAACAGCCTGGGTCAGCACAGAGCTTCCATGCCCTCTCCAGACACCCCAATATATCCAACTTGGAAGCTCCCTGAATTTGTTGATTAGGAGTTTTTATGGGGGTTTCAGGAGAGCCCATTACATAAGTGTGATGGAGGAATTCATTGATCATTCATAATTGAACTCAGTCTCCACACCTTTTGCCTTAGCTGGAGGTTAAGGGTTGAGACTGAAGGCTCCAATCTTCTATGAAGTGTTTGGTTTGCTCTCCCACTCCCAAGTCATCCAAAGCAGGTCACCCACTCCCCTGAGAGTCCCCTCATTAGCATAACAAAGATACCCCTGTCATTCAGAGAAATTCCAAGGGTTTTGAAGCTCTTGGCTAGGAGCTGGTCTAGAGACCAAATATGTATTTTCTTTTTATTGCTGCTCCTTAGTATTCTAACACTTCAGACAACGTAACATTGATGGCCTGGTTTGTTATGGAGGAAGTGCTGTGGTTGTATAGAGAAGGAAGGAAAGAAGGAAGGTTCCATGGGAGAGGTGAAGGTTCCCAGGTGGAGGTAGTGCCTAGCAGACTCTGGAAAGCTGAATTAAGAAGAGGACTAAGGGATGAGTGGGATGAGCAGTGAACATGCAGTCCAGGAGGAGGAAGTGTGTGTGAAAGCACACACAGAATCTATCTTGGGAAGCTGGACTTGACTTTCATTGTCATTTCATTCATTCAGTATTGATTGCTGCCTGCTAGGTGTTATGTGCAAGATGCTGGGGAAGCACAATAATCAATGCATAGCCATATCCTTCTGGAGTTCACAGAGGAGGACGGTGATTCCTTTCTTCCCCATCCTAAGGTCACAGCTGCAAGACAGGTTAACAAGAGGAAGGAGCAAAGTTAACATGTTTACATGATACAGGAGCCGTCAAAGACACTGAGGAAAATGTCTGTTGTTTACTTCCATTTGTTGACACAGGGACAGCTATGCAGAAGTGTGATTGGACAGAAGGGACTGTGTAGGAGCAGGGAACCCCACAAGCCTCTCTGCTCAGAATCTTCTTGGCCTCTCTATGTAGCATTCCTTCCT